TGATGATTTTTTGAAAGATTATTCTTCCCTGGTGATATTTAAGATGATGAACAACTTTTAATCATGAGTTTTTGTTAGAACTAGGGTGTGACCTGAATTCTATTTGAATGTTATTTGGAAATCTTATTCGAAGTCTATTTGGCAATTGTAGATGAAAATTTAATTTGAGAGTTTAATTGGGAGTTTGAAATTTGTGTTGGACTTAAAGAGGTTAAGATATGAAGCAGTGACTTCAAATTCTTTATAGTGAGCTATCACTCATTCGTCACCTACCTGACGTTCAAGCGATGCCAAATCTCGTTTAGCACTTGAATGGTGCTTGAGTGGCCTATGTATCCAGCCCAAGCTCGTTTCGTATTTTTTTAATGCATTTTTAGCATTCTTTTCATCTATAACTCTATTTCTAGGGTTTGAGACATTGCCCATTTATAGTCAACTCTTCATTGTGATTTCAACTAGTTAAACAAATTTGTAGATACAAAATTTTTGTATTCTTTCTCCATATTTTAGTGAGTTCTAATTTTCTCTGTCAATTATCTTTTATTCTTGAGCATCTGCGATATTTACTTTATGTTGTGCCATATATTTATTCTCATCTTACAACAAACTTGTATCAGAGTGATGTTCGATCAAGTCAAGAGCTCAGCTTGATCTTTTGCTATGACAACCATAAAGTATGATATTTCGCTTTTAGATCGAAGAATAAGATTTTAATTGTGGCAAGTAAAATGTGAGCGTTATGGATTTGGATGATGCGTTGTTGGAATTTGACAAGATGCCCATAACTTAGACGTTAAAGGAGAAATAACGTAGGGATCGAAGGGCCCTATCACGGATTCATTTTCATCTTTCAAATAAGATTCTTCAGGATGTTTTGAATGAAAAACCTGATGATATATTATGGTTGAAATTTGAGCAATTACGTATGACAAATATTCTAACTAGCAAATTACGTTTGAAATAGCGTTTATATTCTCTTGAAGATCACCTAACTATTTTATGGAAAATCATCATTAATTTGGAAATTTTGGAGGTTAAATATAATGAAGAGAATTTGTGGTTGATTTTATTGTGTTCATTGTCAACTTCATATATGTCTTTTAGAGACATAATTTTATACAGTCGCGATTCTCTCACTATTGAAGAAGTCTATGATGCTCTATTTTCAAATGAGAGGATGAAACATCTTGTTGAATCTGAGACTTATGAAAATGATCTTGTTGTCGATCAAGAAAAAGAGGCACATGAAAAATGATTGTTATAAGTTGTAGATTAAAGAAAAATTGGTTGCAACTAATTAAGAGAGAAAGCAACCAAACACTTCAAGTGAAGCCTCCATTGCGGAAAATTCTCACGATAATGGAGAACTTTAGATTATTTTTATGGTGACTTTAAACTTGACGAGGATTGATTCTTGATGCAGTTTGTACTTTTCAAATGCTTCCTAATCAAAATTTACTTGCTACATACGAAACAGTTTCAAAAGGCGTCGTGGTAATGGGTAATAATTCACCTTGTAGGATAACTCGTATTGAAAGGATCATAATTAAGATGTTTGATGGGATTGTTAGAACACTTGTTGTAAGATATATTCTAGATTTGAAGATAAATCTTATCTCTTTGAGAACTCTTAACTTGAAAGGGTACAAATATATCTGTGAAGGTGGAGTCTTGAAAGTTAGTAAAGGTGCCTATATTGTGATGAAGGGACAGAGAATGTCTTCAATTATGGCCCTGTTTGATTCACATTATTTGAAAAATATATGTTCTTAAACATTGATTTAATATCATTTCAACTACGCATTCTTCCATAAGATAATGTTACACGCAAATTCAAAACTTTTTCTTATTTTTTAACCACACATTTTTCATCATTGCAATATTCAAAAATACATTTTTATGAAAATAATGTGGCTCAAACAAAGACTATATGTATTGCATGGTTCTAAAGAATCTTTGAAGATCAATCAGCAAAATTTAGGCACTCGTGGATTTTGCGTTTGGTTTAGTACCGTTGGAATTCAGTTTAGGATCTGTATTGAAGAATACATTTCAATCAAGATCAAAAGTTATGGATAATTTCACTTTGTCACCATTATCAATAGTGTCATTGTATTCAGTTGCCAGATATAAACCCAAGAAAGATATTAAGCCTCCACATAGATACGAGGATGTTGATGAAATTGCTTTTGCTTTGAATGTGGTTGAAGGTATTGATTCTAACCAAGAACCTTCTATTGAAGTAGATAGTTGTGTTGATTCTATCACAAGATTTGTTTCTATCTTGTTTGGTGATTATTAAATCATTTGTGATTTTTTATTACTCATGAAGATAATTCGAGCAACTTTGGTGTCGATAGTAATTCTGCTGAGCAATGCTTGGAATTCAATTGATTCTCTATTATTAAGTTTGCCCTATTTAAATTTTGTGGTAGAGGTGGAAATTTTTTTCAGTTGAAAATTTTGTCTCTAGGTGGAAAATCTTTAATGGTTTGTTCATTGCAGTGTAATTCGTATCAAGGTGGAGTTTGTTAGTATTAGGATGTAACTCGAATTTTATTTGGAATGCTATTTGGGAATCTAATTTGAAGTTTATTCAGTAATTCTCGTTGAAATTATGTTTGAGTTCAATTGAGAGTTTATAATTTCTATTGGACTTAGATAGGTCAAGATATGAACTGAGGAGAAATTTTCAACGCTCTTCCACAAGCTGGCCGCTAGTCTCCTGCTCAAGCGGCGACGTCAAATTTTTTACAGTAAGTTCAAGCTTGTTGGCTTACCGGCCAAGCACGTTTCGTGTTTTTGACACATTTTCAGCATTCTTTTCATCTATAAGATTATAACTCTATTTCTAAGGTTTAAAATGTTTCTTATATATAGTTAGTTCTTCATTGTGATTTAAACAAGTAAGACAATTTTGTAAACACAAAATCTTTGTATTATTTCTTCATATTTTGGTGAGTTTTCAATTTTTCCGTCTGCCAATTATCTTTTATTCTTGTACATTTGTGATATTTACTTCATATTGTACCATATATTTATCCTCATATTACAATAGCTTTAATATTGAATAAAAAAAAAAGTTTGGAGTGGTCCAAATTATTATATAATATTCTCGATATTTCAAATTCAAAATCAATAAGTTATCCATCAAGGTGTTTTTCTCTATTTTTCAGCACCATATCTTAAACATTTGTGCAACATAGAAATCTTATATATTCATTTTTCTCATGTTTCTTTGACATTGGAACGTAAGATATTTGCGCCAGCTGCATTATAATATTGTATGAAATTATGCAAAGTTGCATATGTTCATAGCTAATTGAATATGAATACTAGCTCTGGCCTAAACACATCCGCTTTGGCGCATGGGTTAGTGAGAGGAGCCCTGCTACAGCAACAGGGCTGGGGACAAGTGGCCGAGGTGTCGTAACAGAGGCCCTTAATCTTATTTTTTTTATCTGATCAAAATATCATATCAAGGGCTGAGGTGGTGTCACCTCAACCCCTGTCCCAAGTCCTGTTACAAGGCACTGTTGCTTTAGCATAAACCTAGTGAGAGGGCTGTACTATGCTGCTTCCGCAAACGATCGAGTCGAATAAGCACATCCCTTTAGACTCTCCTATTTTTATGGCATCCAATATCTTGAAATCTCTGTTCGCACTATGCTCATGAAAGGACCGTGCCCTGCTGCATGTGCAAAGGGCCGAATCGACTGGTCTATTTTGACACCTCAATTATTATGACATTCAATATCTCAGGATCTACCTCACCCATTGAAAAAAAAAAAATGGACCAAAGTATAATCAAGCCCCTATTCGTTTCTAGATAAAAATCAAATTCTTAGTATATTTTAATAAAAATTGATAAAATTGTGTAGTTAAAAAGTTGTGGATCACATTTTCTATGAACTGTGTGATTAAAGTTAGGGAGTAACTATTTTCATCCACGATTTATATATTCATCCACTATTTTTTTTTATAAATTATATTACATTTTTAACCTCAAGTAAATTTACTTAAATAGACAAAAATAAAATCGAGTAAAATATATCCTTTTAAGTCCCTGTTTGTTTCCAATTATTTGAAGATAATAATGCAATTTTTTACCCTTTTTTGCCAACCCATGAGACCCATTGCGAGATTAAAGTCAAAAATCACGGCTAATAATTTTGCAACGGGCCAAAAATAAATTTAAATTGGGCACAAAATTGGAAACCACTAGGGTGTAAATCTAACCACTTCAAGGTTGGATGACCGTCGCTTTATATATCTATACATCCACCAAGACTTGAGGCTATGATCTACAAAGAAAAATGTTCTTTTGACGGTGATGGCATCTTATGTCTACCAAAGTCATCATTGCCCTTGGCTCTTCGAATTCCAACGCAAAGATCCTCATTTTGTGCAATAGAGGAAATTGTTAAGACAGGAGGAATTTTCAGGACATAAGCTTTCTCATCATTTCATCAATATATATTCATATTACTATTGCTATCACAAGTCTCAATTGCATACCAAAATCTTTAGGTAAAGACTAATTAAATCATCCCATTGCTTTTTCAAAATTTTCTACTTATTCTCCCCACTAAATTATTATTCGATGACAATATAGCAATTTTTTTTTTATGAACCCACAAAATATTTTATAGAGGTTTTAATCTTTTTCTGCGTTTGAGCTTTTGCAAAAAGCCAGGCAGTCAAAAAATTGCAACTTTTCGATATTTCCTCACTCTAAAATGTCGATTTTCTGTTGAATAATATCCCTTTTCTACTAAATCATTAGAGGATTGTATGCAACTTTATTGTGATTTTTCTTCTCTTTTGTAAAATTTTATATTTCCATTCAATGCATATGTTTTTGTCTTGATGATAAAGGTGACCTGTTAGAACTTTCTAGAAGAATCGGAACCAGACATTCACTTTTGTTAACTGTAAAAAATTGTGATTTTTATAAAATAATTGTTTAGTAAAAAACGACGACATCTCATGTGTTTGTTTTAATTGGCTGCATTTCTTCTTCTTTTTGTCTCCATCAAGATCTCTAGTTTATCAATGCGTAGTTCAGTATACTGATAGTTTTCCCATTCTACTCCAGGGGCGGACCCAGGATTTATGTTCAGTGCGGGAATCATTTTTGGACGCCGAACTTCAAGATTTTGGTCATAGATTTAATGATGATAAAAAAATAAAACAATATTACAATAACACTAAAAAAGACATAATTTATATATTAAACTTGTTCCTTGCGAGTTTTCATATTTTGATATCGTCGTACAATAACTTCATTATCAAGTTTCAAAAATATATCTCTCTCTACATAAACAATAGTGCTATCATTCATCCACTGATCACCCATCCGATTGCGCAATCTATTCTTTACGATGTTCATTGCAGAAAAAACTCTCTCCACAATAGCGGTAGCAACCGGTAAAATCAATGCTAAAGTCAAAAGTCTGTAAACCAATGGATATACCTTATCTTTCTTTGTCAAAACCAACTTCTCCGCAAGATCACCAAGGTCATTCAACCCTTCAAACTCTTTGCTAGAGCGCATGTCAAAAATATAAGTCTCAAGTTGATCGATAAGTATAATGCCATCTACTGCAGAGAAATCTAATGGATAAAGCTCAGCAAGTCTAATCAAGCTTTTCTTGTCAAAAGAAGAAAATGAATCTTGTGGGCATAAACAAGCTACACAAAGAAGTAACTCTGTATTTACCTCCGAGAAACGATCATTTAATTCTTGAAATTGTAAATCAATCACAGAGTAGAACAAATCTACTCAATAATGATGTAAATTTGTATTTTCTGGAGAATTACGCTGAGGGCGACCACGAATTGCAAGGTGTACAAACATATCATCCATGTTAGGTACATGAATGTAATGTTGTTGACAAAAAGAACATACTTCTTCCAAAAAGGAGTCCCACCCTTCCTCTCTCATTATTTGGAGTCGTCGTTTGCACAATCTCTCAAATTGCATTGCATTCACAATATCTTGATCTTTTCTTTGCAATGCCTTTGACAGTTCATTTGATATCCCCAACACACTTCTCATCAACTGTAAATTAAATGCAAAATCAAATATTTGTATCAACTCCAATAAATTTGTTGCATCAGATCTTTGATCACAAGAACAAGATTCATCTTCAGCAATCATTGCAAGTACAGCTAAAACAGAAGAGAACATGGCAAGCAAGCTGACCAAAGAATTATAATGTGAACTCCATCGTGCATCACCAGAGTGCCGAAGGATCGTTTCTTGATTAAGTCCCCGTCTACTTAAAATCTCACATTTTTCCAATGCCTCAACAATAAAGTCTAATTGTTTTTCTCGAAGAAGATCACAACGTTTGGAAGATGCTCCAACAGTATTTATCACATTCCCAACCACACGAAAGAAGTTAGTAATAGGGAGGTTTTTCTTTGCCACAGCCACAAGTACAAGTTGGAGTTGATGAGCAAAACAGTGAATGTAAAAGGCACATGGACTCTCCTTCAAAATGAGTGTTTTCAAACCATTAAACTTACCTTGCATATTACTTGCTCCATCATAACCTTGTCTACTCAATCTAGACATACTCAAGTTATATCTAGAAAATACCTTATCAATTGCAGCCTTAAGTGATAGAGTCGTGGTACTTGTAACATGTTCAATCCCTATGAAGCGTTCATTGACATGCCCACTATTATCTACATAACGTAAAACAATAGTCATTTGCTCCTTCATTGACACGTCACAAGATTCATCAACTAGAATGGAAAATAGTGAGTCGCCAACATCTTTGATAATAACATTGATCGTTTCAATAGCACAAGCATTTACAATATCCTTTTGAACATCGGGTGATGTCAATTTGCAATTGTGAGGAGCATTTCCCAATGTGACGGCATTGATAACTTCATTATGAGTAGCCAAAAATTGCAATTGCACTAAGAAGTTACCTGGATTGGAAGAATCCTCAGATTCATTATGACCTCGAAATGAGTGCCCTTGTCGCAAAAGAACTCAAACACAATCAATGGATGCATTAAGGCGTGTAACATATGCATTTCTTGCTTATTCTGACTGTTTGTAGAAAACTGATTGAATGTGTTGCTCTTGATTCATCAACACTTCACACTTAATGCAAGTTTGATTATGTGCATTATCATGAAGTCCAACATGAGTATGAAGCATTTTTTTATCTTTCCAATATGTAAAACTTTCGCCAACAAAAGACTCACATCCACCTTGCTTTTCAAAACTTGTTCTGAAAAGATAACAATACAAACAATAAGCAGCATCCTTCTCTACACTGTATTCCAACCAACTACCGAACTCTTTAAACCACGAAGGATTGAATCGTCTAATTGTTACTCCAAATTGTCGTTTTGGAAAGTCATGATCTTGGGGCGGACAAGGACCCTTTAACATATATGCTCTTCGAACTTCATCTTGGATGTTAGCATTGTAATCCAAAATGGGTATCCTTAGACCAGGATCAGTTGGAAGTTTTGTGACATCAAACTCCACATTATTCGATACCCCCTCATCAACATCCACATTATTTGATACCCCCTCATTAACACTATCTACGTTCCTTTTTCATTGAAAGTATCTATTCATTTGATATCTGGATTTAAACATTTGATATCCAATTATTACTTGAAGTGAGTGAGAATAATTCATAATGACAAAAGGATCATAAATTCACAATTTCACAATTTCAATTCGCAGTGCAATTCACAATTTCACATTAAGTGATTCAGTACATGGAAATTCGAATGGTCTAATGAGCGAGTGCAGCACCGTTCGAGAAATATATGGAGAACTGGAGAACTGCCTGAACTGGAGAAGGCTGTCAAAAAAATTCAGCAAATTACATTTCTGAATTTATTATGATCCAAAAATTGATGACAATCTAACTTCACAATTGCCAAAATCTGAAAATCAGTTACTATCTTCTTTCCAGGGGACTCAATTTTTAAATTCAAATCTTAACTTCAAGTCTTCAACTGGAATTAAAAAGATGAACTTAATCAATTTCTCTACACCTAACAGGGTTTGGTAATGGGTATGAATTGAACGTAAATGGGTTAATTGATTCAAGATGTCGGGTCGGGTCAGTAAATGGCCCATGGACTACGGGAAATTAGGCCTTTTTAATTAATCAGGCTTTACCCAAAAAAAAAAATGTTTTGGGCCTATTGGAGCCCTGCCCGCACTAGACCTAATGGGGCTCCGCCCCTGCTTGACTCCACATATGATAGCTTCATGATAACTTGTAAATTATTGAGAGAGAGGAAATTTTGAGGGCAAAAAACAGGGATATTTGTATTGGAATTTGGTGTGGATGTATAGTTTTTAATGAATGAATTTATTAAGGTTGATATTGGAATAAACGTAGATGGATATAGTATTTTTTTTTTAATTTTTTTTTTTATAAAATTTAGAATTTTAATAGGGATGAATTTAGAGTGGAATAGATATATATAAATTGTTGACGAAAATATCAGTACCCTAAAATTAATAGTTGATTTTGACTTAATTTTTTATCAAAATTTTAGCTAAATCAAATAGGAGGAGCTGAATCTTCACTATTGTGTCTTGCCTTATTATTACTTTAATGTTGAATCTTCACAAAATTTGATTAAAAAAAATGAAATTCCATAAAAATATTTTTAAAAATTCATATTTGTCCCCCTTTTATTACTTTCGCAAGTTCCTTGTGAAAGTATGTACTTTCAAAAGATTGAAAAAATATCAATTCTAGTAATTTATCTATTTATTGTTTTTTGCATGGGTTAACAAGTTTCCTTCTCCTACTGATCAGGATCTTGATAAATTCCAACTTGGAAATGCGAATGTGCCTCTTTTCGTGCACTACTGTTTTCATCCACAAACCTACCAGAATTCTGTAATCAGTTTTATCTCCATCTATATTCTCTGTGTCGCTTTTCTGTAATATTTCTTGTTTATTTTCATCTGTGTGTTTTGTCTAGCATGGCGTCTGGGAAGGCTCGCAACAGTAAGCGATCCTCTGGTGTTTCTTACTCGACGACGACAACGGTAATATTTGTAGCGTTATGCATGTTTGGCCTATGGGTGCTAAACTCCAATTCATTTTCTTCCCCAAAATCAAAAACTCGATCCACTCCACTAATCCATTCGGATCGTAACTCAAAACCTTCCAACAAGAAACTCCATCCTATTCATATAGACAGCAGCTCGTTTCACCTTCCTGGTGATGCCATCAAAGCCAATGAGCTATCTCGACCTAATGATTCTAATGAAAGCCAGGAGATTCAGGAAGATACAAAAGATTCGTTGTCTGACCAGTCCGAGGTTTCTATGGAGTCAGAGAGCACAAAAGAAAATGCTGATGAAGCTGCGGGAGAGAATACTTTTAAGCATGAAGCAGAAGAAAATGGCATAATTGACAATGATAATAAAATCGAACCTGAGCATGATAATATTGTTGAAGATAAGGAAAATGATATTAATGTGAAAGATCAGGATTCAGCTGCAGAAGAAACCGGGGAAAAACTGCAAGGGGAAGAGTCTGTAGAAGAAAAGGAAAATCAAAACGCTCTTAACACTCAAACCTCAGAGGAAAGTTCGGTGACTCAAAACCAAGAAGTCGAAGATACGGTGAAAGAAAACACAGGATTGTCGAATCATGAAGAAATTGTAGGTGAACAAGAAAGCCAGCAAACCGAAAGTGATAAATATGGTACTGGAAAACATGACGTTGAAGAGATCAAAGTTAGTGTTGGCAGTTCAGAGAATACGGAGAATCTAATATCAGATGAAGATCGACAACAACGCATAGAAGAGCATCAAAAACAGGAAGACGAACAAGTCCAACAAGGACAGAAAGAAGGACAATCACAAGAGGATACTAAGGGGATTACAAGTGATGATCAAATCCAACACGATGAGGCATCCATATCCTCAGCTGAAGATGATCCAACCTTCAAAGATGCAAAGGAGACTCGTACAGAAGTGAACAATCAAGAGAACAAGAATTCCAAGAAGAACGAAGGAGAGTCATTTCCAAATAGAGAGAACCATGGGATACCAAAAGAATCAAAAGAATCCGAGAAGGCATGGTCTACTCAAGCAGATCAGTCTGAGAACCAAAAAGAGAGACGAAAAGGAGGATCTGACGACAAAGATAGTAGCATCTATGGATACACATGGCAGTTATGCAATGTAACAGCTGGTACAGATTACATACCTTGTTTGGACAATGAGAAAGCAATAGCAAAGCTTCACAGCAGAAAGCACTTCGAGCATCGCGAAAGGCACTGTCCTGAGGATCCCCCGACTTGCCTAGTTCCACAGCCACAGGGGTACAAAAGTCCCATAGAGTGGCCTCAAAGCAGAGATAAGGTATGATCATGTAAAAGCAATTGTCATTCAAAATTACATATGCACAAGCAGATCCTTCAACATTTTCTGTTGCAGATATGGTATCATAATGTACCACACCCAATGCTGGCAGAGGTGAAGGGCCACCAAAATTGGGTCAAGGTGACTGGCGAATTCCTTACTTTCCCTGGTGGTGGCACTCAGTTTATACATGGAGCATTGCACTACATTGACTTTGTACAGGAGGTATAATAATTCTCCCAATAGGCAAGCAAAACTGGACAAATCCTTTTAATTGTATGTTGCAATTTGATGAATTCAATTGGCTGTAGGCAGTGCCAGATATTGCATGGGGAAAGCACACACGAACTGTATTGGATGTTGGCTGTGGAGTTGCCAGCTTTGGAGGTTTTCTCTTCGAAAGAGATGTTCTTGCACTATCTTTTGCCCCCAAAGATGAACACGAGGCTCAAGTCCAATTTGCCCTTGAAAGGGGAATACCGGCAATATCGGCCGTGATGGGTTCACAAAGACTGCCATTCCCTAGCAGAGTGTTTGATGTTGTGCACTGTGCACGTTGCAGAGTCCCTTGGCACGCAGATGGTTCTCTTTATTTTCTTGAGCTTTATTAATAATTATGTTCTAAATTTAGGCTTAGTAGTTCTCTCCTATCAATGCTAAAAAATGAAGATCTTAATTAGGTGGTTCTCTACTCCTCGAACTGAACCGGGTACTACGACCTGGTGGCTACTTTGTGTGGTCAGCAACTCCAGTGTATCAAACGCTTGAAGAAGACGTGCAGATATGGAAAGGTAGAACCAAATTCATATGTACATATTATGTTGGTAAACAGAAAACTGATACACAAGTTTCATGATTTCTTCCTACCAGAAATGTCCAACTTGACAGTGTCCATGTGTTGGGAGCTTGTCACAATTAAGAAGGATAAATTGAATTCCATTGGTGTTGCTGTTTACCACAAACCAGACTCAAATGATTGTTATGACCAAAGAAAGCAAAATCGTCCTCCGATGTGTAAAACGGATGACGATCCTAATGCAGCATGGTAAGTTTTTCCATAGATCTGTGAAATCTTTCTTTACAAATCCAGATCCAGATTACAAGTCAGGTATTTTTCAGGCATGTACCTTTGCAGTCATGCATGCATAGAGTCCCGATTGAAGGAAACGAGAGGGGTAGCCAATGGCCTGAAGAGTGGCCTGAGCGAGTGCAGACACCTCCTTATTGGCTCAACAGATCACAGATGGGTATTTACGGGAAACCAGCTCCAGAGGACTTTGCAGCAGACACTGAGCACTGGAAGAAGGTGGTGAGCAAGACATATATGAGCGGATTGGGAATTAGCTGGTCCAACGTGAGAAATATTATGGACATGAGAGCAGTTTATGGAGGGTAAACAATGATCTCATTGCTTATTACAGATTTATGAGCAAAACCTGATATCAAAATAATGCTTACAGATTTGCTGCTGCACTCAAGGACCTGAAAGTATGGGTGATGAATGTGGTGAACTTAGATTCTCCAGATACACTTCCCATAATCTATGAACGCGGTCTTTTTGGGATATATCATGACTGGTGTGAAGCATTCAGCACCTACCCCAGGACATATGACCTCCTGCATGCGGATCATCTTTTCTCCAGACTGAAAAAGAGGTAGCAGTACAAGTTTATACTGTTAACAGTAACACTAGGAAGTGTAACATTTTATTTTCATCCCACTTGCAGGTGCAAACTTGTGCCTGTGATGGCAGAGGTTGATAGAATAGTTAGACCTGGAGGTAAATTGATTGTGCGCGATGAATCCAGCACCATTGGGGAAGTGGAGAACTTGTTGAAGTCTCTGCATTGGGAGGTCCATTTAACATTCTCCAAAAACCAAGAAGGGATGCTAAGTGCTCAGAAATCCGACTGGAGGCCAGACACATATGAAGCCATATCTTGATTGGTCGAGAAAGTCATCCTTCAGGGTACCCCAGACAGAATATTCTGTTGAGCATGATTCCTCTTGCAGTAGAGCAAATACTATATCAACTCACACAGAGAACACAATGCTGGAGTATTTCACCAGATTTTTGTTTATTTGATAGTATTTTTGGATCATTGCTAAATACACAGTTAACTAAATGCTGCTACTGTTTGTCCATTGAGCTGTAAACTTTATTCAATACATTTTTTTATGAGATATTCTAGCATATAAAGCATTAACATATGTGTTCGTGTGTGGGAAGTGACAATATGAAATATGATTTACAAGAACTGGCAGATTTTAAGTATGCTTAGCAACTTTATACATTGCTCTTGAACAATGATAAAGAGGTGCTACAGACCACAACAAACATACGAAGGTCACAATACCTAGATATTTCAAGACACCCCCTATTTTACCTACATCCACGACAATCATGAAGACATGAATCAAAAATAACACTAGCTAAGTCTTACTGCCAATAAACTTAAAAATCAAATGCATGAATCCATCTTCACCCTTTCATTCAATCCAAAGATACTAACTTCATTTTTTTTTTCTTTTGTAACTCCCTCAAACCTGATAATATAATATTTTTTTACTTGTTCCCTACTACAATTGTGTCACTTCTGTAAATGAGGCCTTATTTTAGATCTACAGAAGATATGCTGCAATCATGTAAGTCATAACCCGTAAAGGGCATGACCTTCAAGTTTTGGGGAATAAACTCGTTTCCTATTGAATATAGTTTGTGGGGCATCATCGTTTCTATTGCATTCGTCTCATAGACTATGTATTACTCAAAGGCTTGTCTATCAATACCACAAATTAATGAATGTGCCTTATATCTGTCACATACAAATTCTGCAATAAATTTTATCAAAATTCAAAGTAACACGTCTTTTAAATTCACAACACAGCATCTCAAAACGTTCACCAACAACGAAAAGAACTGATTTAACAACTCACATAGACCTGAATGGTTTAATCAAGACAGCTATAATGTAGATCACACTAAATATTCTGCCTCCCACTGAATATCATCTCCATGCTCCACTTATGACATTGACATTTATAAGATTAGATAAGATACACCAATCTCCAGCTGACTGATGAAATTATTAAGCCTTACTGAGAAGGTTCTGCAATTGGCCACTTCTGACTGCGGCTTGGAGATCTAATCACATACAAAAAGATCAGAGAAAAGCAGTGTTGTTTAATAAATGAAACTTGCTGCTAATGAACAGTTTGAACATCAAAGAATGAGGCCTACCATCAGATCCACCAATGTGCTTGCCATTAACAAACACTTGCGGCACAGTTCGTCGGCCAACCAGATCCAGAAGAACATCCTGAATCTTGTATCCATCATCTGCATGTCATAAAGAGCAAACAACACTACTATCTATCAATGAAAGTGCGCATGCATGTACAGATCTTCACATTAAACTCAGGCATTGGAATGAGAAAAGGTGAAGTAGTGAACAATTTGATACTAGTACCTCGAAGATCTAGCTCTACTACAAAAGGTTCCTCCTGAAGTTCACTGAATATGTGCTTGGCACGCAAGGAATACCTAACCTCACAAAATCATATGCATTAAGAATGAACGAGCTATTGGGAAAGAAGAAATAATTTTATATTTGAATGCTAAATGAAAAATGAAAAAGATTTCTTGAAAGTAGTGTAACTAAAAGTCTTATTTTGTTTTTATTTGCATCTTACTAAAAAATTCCCCTCTCAAACCCCATTCTTTGTCCCCAAGACTAAAATTCGGGACTCTAGAATCCAGATCATGCTGATCCATAACCCAGTTTCTCAGTTTTCTTCCTCTTGTTGCCAGATAATTTTGAGTCAAAACTTCCAAAACATATCTGCTTTTATGCACCAGATAAGATTAGCCAAATGTGCTAATATGATGATGAAAAATTTTGAGGAAAATCTGTTGCCAGATAATCTTGAGCCCACAATCTCTCCCCTCCCTCCCTCCATCTCATGTGTCTCACTACTGTACTCTCTCTTCTCTCCTAGATATGTTAAACATCTTAGGTTTAATTTGTGTTTGAATTTGTGATATCTGGTATTAGTGAATTTTTTAAATGGTAAATGGATGTTTTCATTGTGAGTATTTAACTGCTGAAGGTTTAGTTTTCTGAGTTTTATCTAGCTGGGAAGGGGTATAATATTGGCATGTGAAGGTTTCTCTCAGAACAAGGAAGAATGTCCCAAAACATAACAAACCAGTGGTACCCAAATCAGTGAAACTTTTTGTTCGGTTCAGTTCTTGAACCAAATCACTTTCTTGGGTTTCCAAAAAATAAAAACCAAACTGAAACCAATTTGAAAACTGAATTCATAGCCATATAATCATATCCCTCTGACCACTGTTTTCAGCTTTAGAATTTATTTAAACATGCCCATGTTCAGCCTGGCGATTCCAACAAAATTACACAGCAGGCTGCTGCCATTAATTGCCATAAAACCCGGATCCTTGAGTTTTTTTTAATTAGAGCCAAACCATGGTGTTAACATATGCAAATATGTAGGCACAAAGGTCATAAGCATTACACTAGTGTCAGGCCTCAATAAATGTGTGAGAGATGTCCGATGGTCTTAGACCCATGCATTACTAGAGAGAGTATATGGGCCTCAAGCCAATTAGTATTAAATACGAGTCCATCCCATTATGGCCTGAAGTCCAATACTATGCACGTAGAGTATCACCATCACATAATATAATTGTCCAAACACGCTTTAGATAAAACTTATAAGTAAATCTAATGTAATTATACTAGTTCACAAAATATTCCAATAGTCTCCTACTCGGATAGTATAATCATCATACATCAAAAATTTACTGAATCAAAAAACAACAAGAATCTCAAACACATTAAGCCGAGACTAATCATGAACAATAACATATCCACGGGATACAAATACCATCCACAACTAGGGGCAGAGTAATTCACAAGCATTGTGACAATCTTTGTATGGAGCTTACAAGAATACATTCACTGAGTCTAATAACCAGATGTCTCTTGTCAAAAGTCACATATTAAGCCCTTGTTTGAGCTCATCCTTCAAAATAAATTTTGTAAAATGTGATTTTCTTTTCCCTTTTTTTTAAGAACATGACTAAAAAGTAGGAAATTTTTTTGATTTACTAGCAAAATTATTTTATTGGGAGAATGTGTGATTGAAAAAGAGTTTTGAAAAATGGAGCTCAAACAAGGGCAAAATAAACATGTTTATGCAAGATCAAGTGCAAATTTCATAATGTGACTACAATTGGGATCCTTAAGATAACTCGTGACTATTATTCACAATTAGCATGGATAATATATGTAACATGTTTTGTAAATGCACAATTATTCGAGATTAGTATTGGCTAAATATCACATCCGATTCATGTTGATATAAATATTACAGTTGGGTGAATATCTCTTGTATGGTCATCTTGTCCGAGTGGGAGAATCAATGCGTATAATTAAAGTATGTTATAGACAACTATACTGTTATATATTTACATATAAAGTATTACATAAGGGCCATAATAGGAGGGGGGGACTAGACTTATTTTATGGGAAGAGTTCATAAATCAGGTTTTAACCATGCATAATTCAAAATCTAGATTACAAGTTTCATTAATGTAAAAATTAGGTTTTAACTAATTAATTAAAAATATTTATTAAGTGATGATAATAAAGTCACAATTACACGATTAATGGTCACAAATTTATTCACTGTCACATATCATCAAATTAATTGGTTACAAATTTTTCAAGGTTACAAACAAAATTTGTTGCAGGTCACAGTTTATTTCAAAGTCACGAGTCAAAAATTTATGGGTCACAGATTATTTCGAGTCCAAATTACTTGGTCACAGATTATTAAATTTTTAGGTCATACGAAATCACAGATAACTAAATGATTAGTCACATACGTCAATTTCTTGGTCACAAACAATCAAATCATCTGTGACCACCACCTCACCACTACCACCAGCCGCCAAAACTGTCACCGCCAAAACCACTACCACCATCTCCGGTAGCCCCATCATCTCAAACACTGCAACTAGCACCACCTCACCACAAACAAATTAGAACCGCCAACATCCTACAAAAGCCATCACCAACGTCTTTGCCACTTCACCATCTCTACCACCACCACAACCACCGTTTCCAACCAACATTCATTCATGGCCACCGTAAATAGCACCACCTCGCCATTTCCACCCCTGTCGTCGCTACCAGTCCACCACCGTCATTTGGATCCATATGTTGCACTTCCAAAGCAACTTCCAACTCTCATTTCACCACCATCGCCACCCATCAACCACAATAGTCGCCACCAAATTCGCCACATTCAAAACCAAAACATAGATCCCATCTCAGATGTAAACAACTATTTGTCGCAAACCACCCAAAGAACCCCAAAATCACTCAACGACGTCGGTAGCATTGCTGCGCAGCGGCGGCGAGATGGTGGTGACACCTTCGGGCAAGAGATTTTCTTCCAGGGCGTGCCGCTACTGTTTTTGAGAATTGAGAGAAGAGAATAGATAAAAGGATGGGGATGACCAACCACCGCTCAATGACAAGGAAGTGGTGGTAGTGTCGGCGGCGAGATGGTGGTGACGCCGTTGCACCGGAGAACGTCTTCCAGGGCACTGCTACTATTGAGAATTGGGAGAAGACAATCGAGAGATACGGGGATGGGGATTAGGTTTTGTAGTGGGGTGGGTGGTTAAATACTTCAAACCTGAAAACTGCACAAATAAACCTCAGCCCTGGAATATGAAATGTGATCTTTAAATACCTGTGGCTGCGTAATTTCCTCTTATTTTATTAATGATGCTCAAGGGTTCGGCTTGCTCATAATATTTCAGTTAGCCCATTAAACTAAATAACTGTCTACTGATGTGGGCTTTATGTTATGAATATGATATTCTTTGGTAAATCAAATAATCGATTCTACCGCTTACGAAACCCTAGCCTCCTTTTGGTTCTGATATTTCAAGCCAAAAAATCAATACACACTCAAATTGCTAAACATTGTTTCTGTTTTTTGGGGTCGTGAACCTTTAGATGTGCATCAACAAATGTAAAAACAAGTTTATAATATCTACCAATTGAACTCGAATCAAAGCTTCTGAAAATAAAAATTCCTATATTTAAACAGGGAACTTTAATCTTCAGTTTACCATAATCACAAATCAGAGATGACGACTTACGGGCAATAGGATTTGGAGAAAATAGCGATCTTGTTCGAGTAGATGACATTTTGCACAAATGCTGATGAGGAAGCGGAAGCCAGGGCCTTTGGGGGAGCATTTCCCAACAGTAATATGCAAGCCAAAGTTGCAATTAAAAATGGGCGACGCTCGCAAATCACTTCCGGCGTTCTGCCCAGCATCTCGTTATGGATCTCTCTTTCTAGATCACGATTACAGTTACAGCTCAGTTTCAGAACAATTTTTCTTGGCACAAAATGTGCACCTACAAAATAGAGAATAAATAAACAATTTAGAGAA